CGCGCTAACCACCTGCGCCATCGAGCTCCTCAAATCTATATATATATATAAAACTCAAAGGTGACTGACTGACATAGTGATGTATCAACGCACAGCCCAAACCACTGGACGGATCGGGCTGAAATTTGGCATGCAGGTAGATGCTATGACGTAGGCATCCGTTAAGAAAGGATTTTGATCAATTCTACCCCGAAGCGAAGCGAGAGCGCGCCACTAGTATCCTATATTTTCTCAAATCATACATAAATATCATCTGATTTTAATAATTTTATAATATAATTAGCTCAAGACTAAATTAAACTATACAATTAATAAGATCATTATTAATTGAATAGTTTGAACAACATTGAAAGAATAATGTAACAACATTTACAAATCATAATGCTGTTACAACCTCAATACAATCATGATTCATTTCTTAAAGACTAAAAATGGAAATCCTTACTTTACCCGACGAACGAATACCTGGGCGCTTAACGGAAATGCTATGGAAAACGCTAAAGCTTTCGATTTCATTTTGTTATTTCTGACCTCCGAAGGTTTCCAAATACCTCACGCTCAATTTCTTTAATATTGTTATTGCATTGGTAAATGCAAACGAAAAAAAAGCGCGAGGCATTTGAAAACCTCAGGCGGCTAGAAATAACAAAATGAAATCGTAAGCGTTAGCGTTTACCAAAGCATTTTCGTTAAGCGAATGGCCCTCTGTACCCTTAGTACGAGTTTGAGCTCACGTAAACTATCATAGTTTTCGTAATTGCAAATTATGTTTCTACTAGCAAACCTGTGAACCAAATTTTCACCAAAACCTGATTTCTCGAAAACCGGAAGTGCTACGTTACTCAAATCCGGTTTGTAGTCTTATCAGACTATTCTTAACTTATAACTTAAATATTCTCTTTATCTATCTCTTACGGTTTGGCCGCTGAAACAGCACCACGGACAGACGGACTCGTCTAATAGATAAGAGATGTCCATTTTGGTGAAAAGTAACCAAATATACTTAAAATTTAATTAGACGCAAATGATTTGATGATAGAATTTAAACACTGTATATTTGTATTGAAACGAAAACAATAAAATCAGTACCCTTAGTACGAGTGCGAGCTCACGAAAACTATCATAGTTTTCGTAATTGTAAAGCTCGTACTAGGGGTACTGGCCCATTTCACTCGATATCCCAACAATATCAAGTTTATATGTTTCTAAGGTTTTCACGCACATCACTCATTAAATAAAACTAGTTTTTTCGAAGGTAGCTCGACAAATCGAATAAAAGTTTTATTCTGACGACGAAGCCTGTAAAGGCTACGAAACGTCAATAAATAAATAAAGTTTCGTGCATTAACAGCATTAACAGTGCAGTGGCAGCACCAACAGCATCCTGTCGGCACTAGTTGACAGGTGGGATTCTCCACTGTTGGAGCGCTGGTTGCATTTGCATGCGAAGCCCCCGGGCCGCATGTAGGGGGTGCCTTGTGTTCCAGCAGGAGATGATTATATTATTTTATTTTATTTGTAATCTATTTTATACTTTACTAACATAGTTTTTAAGGTACATTGTTACTAACATTTTGTGGACTTAAATTGTCTGAGAATAAATTATTATTATTATTATTAACCCGTAAAAACTAGTTTTATTTAATATCAAGTTTAACTAAAACCCAGCCGGTTGGTTGCTTTGGCCGACACTAAAAACTGTTCCCGCCATTCACAGGTCCCGAAATCACCCCCGACCACAACGGGGAGGATAAGGGTGGGTGGATACAGTAGAGGGGGATGAAATTACCTGTCCGCGGCAGTCACCTGCTGTGAACGGCCATCAATAGTTGATTGGCGATCGCTAATGATTTTTGAAGTCCTTTGATTGTAGGAGGCGCAGGTCGGCTGGGAGGATTCAGTTTTCGGCTACAATACTTTGTGGTCTAATTATAAGCCACTTAAGCGGGCTTTATAGCGCAAGTGGTAAGCGCGTTCGGCTGCGATCGTTGAAGTTAAGCGATTTTCGCAGTGGTCAGTCATTGGATGGGTGACCAAAAACTTACAACGAAATGAAATGAAGTTACAATCACTTGTGAAGGTCAGAAGCTACGCCATCGGTAAAACTACGGCGGGAGACCTTGTACTGAGAAGAACCGGCAAGAAACTCAGCAAGGGCTGCTTGGCGAATCGCGAGCTCCTCCGTGCTTCGGAAGGCACGTTAGTTGTTCCCGGCTGCAATCTGCAGTGGTTAGCACGCACCAATCCGCACTGGGCCCGCGTGGTGGGTCATGGCCTAATCTCCCTATTCCATCAATAGGGAAGGTCTGTACCCCAGCAGTGGGGACATTAATAGGCTAATGATGATGGCTTCATAGTCCTACCAAAACTATGCCAATATTGCCGAATACAAGAGTGTAGAGAGAATATTGGTCTTTAATGGTGTTGCGTCGTAGAGTTCCTGACAATAGGCTAGTTTACTCATGTCGAATTATATAAAATAAATGTTTATTTCTTAAAGTATTTAGTCTAAGGAACCTTAATATATCGATTTCACTTCATAAAAGCAGAAGATTGCTGTAGAAATTTAATTTAAAAAAATATTTTTTAGTCTATATTTTTTTAAACACTAAAAACGCTGTTCCCCATTACCGCCATGATTTTGACGTCGACGACGACGTTCTAGGTTTAAAAAAATACAATACATTTTTTTTCGGTCTAATAGAACATTTATTAACCATTTAAAACCTTTTTCCAAAAAGGGTCAACTAGCCTATTTCACATTGTACGTGAGTTCCGAACCCGCAGCTGCGGCGGGCGCGAGCTAAAACCGCTTCATGTGTACTTAACCTTACTGTTTGTTTCGTGAAGCGAGACCAATCATTTATCTATGGAATACAATATTTTACATCACAAAAAGTACGATATTTTTCATATACTAATAAAAAGTAGTAGAATAAATTTGACGCGGTTCCGCATAGCAATGAGTTTAAATAAATGCTTCAAGGAATAGCCTTTACTATCTTTGATTAATAGTAATAATAAGTATTTCCAACACACCAATTAGCCTAGCTCCAAAGTAATCACTAAGGCTTTTGTTGCTTGGGTAACGGATAGGCCCCCGGCCCTCGAGTCGGCGTCACCATGAAACTCGGCGTACAATTCACTCGGCCACGGGGGTCGCCAGAGCATTATACATATATACACCTAGATAAGGTAGTAACTTCGCGGAATCGCCCCCAAAAAATATCTACTTCATGATATGGTAGATACGCTCGATTCTACACACGCACACAATAACTGCTTCAAAAAGCTGACATTAGAATCACACACACAATGACTGATTCCAAAAACTTGACATTAGAGTCACACACACAATGACTGCTTCCAAAAAGCTGACATTAGAGTCACACACACAATGACTGCTTCCAAAAAGCTGACATTAGAGTCACGCACACAATGACTGCTTCCAAAAAGCTGACATTAGAGTCACACACACAATGACTGCTTCCAAAAAGCTGACATTAGAGTCACGCACACAATGACTGCTTCCAAATAGCTGACATTAGAGTCACGCACACAATGACTGCTTCCAAAAAGCTGACATTAGAGTCACGCACACAATGACTGCTTCCAAAACCCTGTCATTAGAATCACGCACACAATGACTGCTTCCAAAAAGCTGACATTAGAGTCACACACACAATGACTGCTTCCAAAAAGCTGACATTAGAGTCACGCACACAATCACTGCTTCCAAAACCCTGTCATTAGAATCACGCACACAATGACTGCTTCCAAAAAGCTGACATTAGAGTCACGTACACAATGACAGCTTCAAAAAACCTGACATTAGAATCACGCACACAATGACTGCTTACAAAAACCTGACAGTAGAGTCACGCACACAATGACTGCTTCCAAAAACCTGACCTTACAGTCACGTACACAATCACTGCTTCCAAAAACCGGACATTAGAGTCACGCACACAATGACTGCTTCCAAAAACCTGACATTAAAGTCACGCACAAAATGACTGCTTCCAAAAAATTTACATTACGCACACATTGCGCGTAACATGAGCCGTTTTGCGCGGTTCATTTGGATTGATCTATCTATGAACATCGAGTTGCAGAAACACCCGTAGCAAGAAGAAGAATAAGCTATATGAGCATTATACAACTGTCACTGTTAGTCAAATAATGCACTGTTCAATACCCGCCTCAGTGATGGAACGCTGGTGTAAAACGAATTTGTCAGATATAAAACATTAATTTAAAACAATTTCCTGCACTAGACTATGGTTTCAATGCTAGTAATGATTCTTTAAACCTAAATTTTAATTTGACTACAGCGTAACCTTATTCCCTATACAGAATGAAAAGGAGAGACTGATCTCAAATTTAATTTTAAGTTTAGAGAATCGTGCCAGAATCGACACCTGTATGTATGTAAGTAGATTTTTGACGTGAAACATCTTTTGGGCACACGTTAAACCGAATTCTGGCGTGGCGACGCTCGCCCGTAAAATGCAATATATACCAGTGCTCAACTACCCGCCGATCAGTACGACGCCAGCGCCTGTAATTTTTTACCGCACGCATCCCGAGCATTTCTCCGAGTGTGTTTATCGTGCTAGCATTTCTGCTAGTGTTTCACATCTGCCAGGCGTTCCGTGACGGCTCACATTTTTCATTTTATATGAAAGGGGCATACGAACTGACGCGACGTCTCAACCTGATGGTAAGTGATCACCGTCGTCCAAGACACCTGCAACACCTGGAGTATCACAAATGCGATGCCGGCCTATAAGGAAGAAATACCTCCACTCTTTTTGTGAAGGTTTTCAGGTCGTAATGGTCCGGAAACACTGCTGGTGACAACGTATTCCACAGTTTTTACCTACGTGGTAAAAAAAATGACAAAATCGCAAGAATGTGGTTAGCCGTGTATCAAGATGGTGGGGATGAAACTTTTGCGCGATGTACGACAGCGAAAATATAAAGTGAAATAAGCTTACGGATCGCTCGCTCGCCGCTTGACGCTGCCGTCGCTGGCGGGCTGGTGAGCGAAGATATCGCTTGAGTCACCGCCGCACTCCAGGATCAAGTGCTCGTGACTCCTGATGTATTGCAACGGGTTCTGGAACGAACATTACGAATGAGCAATTTGAAAATGAAACAAAATTCTATCGAATTTCTTTAACGAGAAACCATTTCATAAGGTTTCAATGAAAGAACGGAGTAACACTATCTGATTCAAAGTAATTTGTATTTTGAATAAAGTCCGTAACAATATCCAACAATTGAACGTCAATAAATTTAAAACTACTATTAAAAATATAATGATGATGGTTGTTCTACCTGCTTCAGTCTCCTTGCTCTCACCAGTTGCAGCAGAGCCTGCATGATCCTTTTCCCTGTGTCATCTATATAGAAGATCCGTGCCCAGCAGTAGAATATTAATAGGCTGATGGTAATGTTGGTTCTTTCTATTTTTTATTTCGGGAAAAGGCATGACTCTGTCTGTGGATTCATCTCCGGTCATTTCATTTAGCCCAGAGATTGATGAAATGAGCAAAACCCTACCCAGTAACACCAGACAATAGTTCTGCACCGGCCAGGGTATCTGTGGATTCCTCCCCGGTCATTTCATCTAGCCCAGAGATCGATGAAATGAGCAAGACCCTACCCAGTAACACCCTACAATAGTTCTGCACCGGCCAGGGTATCTGTGGATTCCTCCCCGGTCATTTCACCCAGCCCAGAGATCGATGAAATGAGCAAGACCCTACCCAGTAACACCAAACAAATAGTTCTGCACCGGCCAGGGTAGTTAGCCACATAGTCGAGCCGGCATCGTCCGCTCGGCAGTATTTGTCCAACAACAAAGTAATTACTGCAGAACATTCATCTACACATAGGGCCGTTTTTAGTAGTACCAGTATATTCTCATTGGTTCGGTCAAAAAAATTAGCAAAGTTCATCGCAGAACTAGTGGGGTTGTCCAGTCGTTCTGTGATGAACATACTCAAAGCTAAAACTTTTTATACTTGGCCGGAGTGCGGCCTGCGGAATGCTCGCTTCCGACTGATCACACACCCGTAATTGTTAAGATTCCCCCTATTTTGGTTCTTCCTGCTTCGAACGGCATGCAAGTCCTTCTGCACGAGCGACAGCAGAGCCTCCCTATTCCATCCGTAGAGAAGGCCTATGCTCTAGCAGTAGAAGCATGGTGATGATAATGGTTTTGTTTCTAACTGCGTCAGTCTCCTGGCTCTGGTGTGCAAATCTCTCTACACCAGCGATAGCAGAGTCTGCATAGTCCATTCGCCCTACCTTTTCCCATGCCACAGATCACAGAAAGAGCTAAGAGGAGCCTTGTAGGCAAACACGACAGTAATAAACTTGACCGAAACTTGGTTCTGATTGCGGTTGCTGTGGGGTGTGAGCGTTGATTAGTTCTATGGTTTCATCTTGCGTTGTTTGATTCGCTATTGTCTATTAGGTGGAAGTGTAATTGGGGCGAGCCGGCGACATCGATTCCCGTACAAAATTGTCTATGATCACCCTTCTAACCTCTTCCTGTGTTCTGTGGTGATGATGGTGATGTTGGTTCTACCTGCTTCAGTCTCCTCGCTCTGGCGTGCAAGTCTCTCTGAACCAGCGGTAGTAGCGCCCGTAAGAAGCCTGGTACAGACGCCCGCAGCGGGTAGTTGGTACACTCCTGCACGCCAGCTTGGAACTCCTCTATGTTCAGCGTGCCCGACTGGAAAGAGAATTGAATTAGGAATGCGGTAATGCTCTTTGGTGGAATTCAATAAGTAATTGGTAATGCCCAGAGAATACAGTAAGAGGTCGGAAGGTCTTTGTGGGCGGGGCAGGCTTATTTTAATTATTACGGAAATACCAATTACAATTAAATTAAAGGCACAGGTAACAACAGTGATAATAAAGACATAACAAAAAACGTGTGAGACTCAGACATCCCTTTCACAATAGCGCAAGCATTCTGACAATATTTTGGACCACGTATATGCAAACAGGACACACGTGGGGTTGGCGGCCAGGAGAGCAGGAGACAGCACGAGCAGAAGTGCGGTATAATGGCACTGAAAATTACTTGTGTTTCCTACTGCGGCTATAATTGTTGGGTACTTAGAGTCAACATACCTCATCGTGTAGGTCTGGAGCATATACATATATCTCGAACACTAAGCCGAATATGAGCAATAACACGTACCACCTCTATCCCGTGTCAGCGCCGTCGTCCGCTGCGAACTGCTGCAGCGCTGACAGGAAGCGCCTCAAGCGATGCAACGGACAATAAACTGATGATGCCACGTACCACCAGGTTGTGAATCAACTGTCGAACCCTCTCCCCCGTGTCGGCGCCGACGTCCGCTGCGAACTGCTGCAGCGCTGTCAGGAAGCGCCTCAAGCGATGCAGCAGACCAGGGCTTGCAACCGGTTTCGAAAATACCGGTAAATAAAGGTTAATACCGGTTTTTAGTAAAGGTTTCGTTCGGAGCGCGTCCGAAATGAAAGCGATACCTAAAACCTTAATAAACCGGTTTAATCCAGAGCGACACGTTCACGCGTCGGCATCGAAGGCATTGAAGTTTGTTCTGTTTGAACTAATCAAGTCACAACTTTTTAATGCTCAGAGATTGATGCATTTATTGACACGTTTGCTAGCGTCTAGTGAGTCAAGTTATTCATTTTGTAGTTGTGTACTGACACACTATTTCACTCACTCGCTCTGTAGTTGGAAAAAAACTGACATACAATCATTATAAATTTGAATTGAAACGGCAAAGGCGATGCCGTGAGTAAGAGCGAAATGAAACCCTTTAAAAACCGCTAAATTGATTCAAAACCTATTTGATTTGAGCTTTTTAGGAAAACCGGTTTTTTTAAGGTTAAGGTAGAGCCAAACCTAAATAAAACGCTCCTAATGTACTTGATACTGATTTAGGTTTGAAAATTAACCGGTCAACAAGCCCTGCAGCGGACACTTAACTGATGATGAAACGTACCACCAGGTTGTGAATCAACTGTCGAACCCTCTCCCCCGTGTCAGCGCCGACGTCCGCTGCAAACTGCTGAAGCGCTGTCAGGAACCGCCTCAAGCGCTGCAGCGCGGGCGCCGCGCGGGAACCGTCCGGCAGCGGCGGGGATAAAGACTCTGTTGATGACAGCGCTGCTGGGAGAACAAATATATGTACCACAAGGCCTATTGGGGGTGATGACGGGGTACAGTAAACAAAATTCTATTTAGTCCGTCAGTTAGATGATCAAAAAATAATGGATACGTATTTTTTCTTTGGGCAATCAACCAAAAAATGACAAAGTTATAGTGCGTCAAAGTTTGGGAGTAGGGGCTCGTGACGTCACTTTTTAGTGAATTTTCACTTAAAAGTGTACCAAAACGTGACGTCATGCGACTTTTCAAATCCATATATCTCTGCAATGTTTATATTATGTGAAAAAAGAAAAAATACGTGTCCATTACTATTTGATAATCTACCTGATAAACGAAGAAAAAAAAATTAGTCATCATCCCTATTATAACTTTCACGGTAAAATTATGGACACGTAATTTAACAAAAGACAGGGTATTCTTACGGTTTCGCACCTCAAAAGGAACGGAACCCTTATAGGATCCCTTTGTTGACCGTCTGTCCTTCTGTCCCTCAAGACCCTTTATCTAGAGAACATTTGGAGGCATCGAGTTGAAATGTAAGCCACATACTAAGGTCTACAGTCTCTTGCAGCTTTGGAAAAATCAAACTTCTAAGTCAACATGAGAAAAAATTTTGGGCGTTATCTGTCTCCCTGTTAAAATTTCGGGAACGCCTGGAGATATTGAGGTGAAGTTAGAAATTTATAGGTACTCAAGTTCACGGTCCCTTGAAGCTGTGAAAAAATCACACTTCTAAATTAAGTTAAAAAATGATGCACAGTCGTATCTCCTATAAATATCTAATTTTTTCTTTGTATAAGACGCAGGTGCGGTCTTGCATGAAATATTGCTCGCACCTCTGGGATGGTTCCACCAAGTACTTGCTCGATGCTTTGGATAGGTTACAGCAGCGTGCGATCCGCATCATAGGCGATAAGGAGGTGACTAAACACCTCGAGCCTTTTCAATTACGCCGTGACGTTATGTCACTAAGCGCGTTCTATCGACTGTACCACGGCGAGTGTCTTGAAGAGTTCTCTCTTATTCCACGTTCCCCTTTCCTTCAGAGGACCACGCGCGCTGGCCTTCGGTGTCACCGTCTAACTGTGGCCACAATTCCAACGCGTACAAAGAAATTTAGTGACTAATTTCTTTGCCGCACTATCCGTAAATGGAATGCTCTGCCTGCTCACGTGTTCCCTCCTTCTTACAACCTGGGATCCTTTAAAAGAGGCGTGAAGAAGCAACATGCAGGCAGGCAAGATGAGTATGGCTGGTGTGGCAGGTAGAACTGCTGTACCAGCTATCTTTACGTCTGGACTTCACCATTACTTAACATCAGGTGGAGTGGAGTCATTTGTCAGACCTATCTATAAAAATATATAATAGCCATGTGACGCTCCAGCATTAGGTGTGTAAAATGAAGGTCTTACCAGCAGTTCCATTGTTCTGTGGACTGGGTGGACCTGGAGTTGGTGATGACCTGACGTCGTCCTGATCCGGAGACCTTCGCTCTTTACCAGTGGATGCTGTAACAAAATGATCACATATAAATATATTTTTATAATATATCACACATATATAATATATATTAGAGGGCGAGGAAGGAGATGAGTAGCAACTCGCACAAAATATACTACAGATGCACACTAGTTGGGTGCTTCTCATAATTAATCATATATATGTTACGGTTTATTATATATATAATACATCAAACTAAACTACATAATAATAGATAATAGAAGATATATTGGGGACATAGATACCTCTTTTCTTGTGGGTTACAGGACGGGGTATTTATAACCAACAAAATGTCGAGATGGTGAACTCAACCAATCATTAATATATCACATGTAAATAATAAATTAAGAAAATAGCAAAAAGGTTATAGTCCAGTCGGAATAAACATGAGAGCTATTCTAAGACACCAGCGCTTAGCCAATTTTTTCCTGGATAGTATAGACCCCCACGAATATGCCCTCCATTTGTCCCCGCTAGAACCCGTGTTTTGTAGCCAGGAAAATTGTTTAAACAAAGAAAAACCGGTTTTTTTGAGTTTTTTTGCTTGTAAACGGGGATTTTGAAATTTTTTTTGAATCAAAGTTGTTCATTAGCTTGCCCTCTACAAAATCAGTTCTATGAAAAAATAACGTGAGATTGTTAGTTTAGCAGTAAATTGCAATTATGTCGGTTTTACGTTTGCAACAATTCAACATGTTATAATAAACATTTTGATTTCTAAAGTAGTTTATCATGTGGGTAACGCCACTCCCAAGAGAGTCATGTAAAATTTATCGACCTGTGTCGCAAACTTTAACAACAATTCTCAATCTCCGAAAAAAAAGTACTTGCCTGTCCCGTCTTTCCCAGAAGGCGCACAGCGGGGAAAAAAAATCAGGTGATTTGATTCACCAAGAATTTTGAGGAATCGATCGAAAAAAATCGTTAGTAAAAATGTTCGTTTTTGGATGATTTAATTTTTTTTTTAAAATTGACGTAGAATATTTTTTTTTTAAACTAATGTATTTTTCTCTCCTCAACTCGAATATATGATTGAAAATTTAAAAAATTCAGTTTATTTATGAACAGAAATTATTTACAAAACTATTAACTAAAATTCGATTACAAGACTGCGTTGTATTCTATATTTCTAATTAAATTAATTTCGTCCTTTTTTCTTCCGGTTCATAATCGGAATTCTCAGGGTATATTAGTATTATATATATATATATTCAGAATAGTATATTCGAGTTGAGGAGAGAAAAATACATTAGTTTAAAAAAAAAAATCTACGTCAATTTTTAAAAAAAAATTAAATCGTCCAAAAACGAACATTTTTATTAACGATTTTTTTCTACTCGATCGATTCCTCAAAATTCTTGGTGAATCGAATCACCTGAATTTTTTTTCCCGCTGTGCGCCTTCTGGGAAAGACGGGACAGGCAAGTACTTTTTTTTCGGAGATTGAGAATTGTTGCTAAAGTTTGCGACACAGGTCGATAAATTTTACATGACTCTCTTGGGAGTGGCGTTACCCACATGATAAACTACTTTAGAAATCAAAATGTTTATTATAACATGTTGAATTGTTGCAAACGTAAAACCGACATAATTGCAATTTACTGCTAAACTAACAATCTCACGTTATTTTTTCATAGAACTGATTTTGTAGAGGGCAAGCTAATGAACAACTTTGATTCAAAAAAAATTTCAAAATCCCCGTTTACAAGCAAAAAAACTCAAAAAAACCGGTTTTTCTTTGTTTAAACAATTTTCCTGGCTACAAAACACGGGTTCTAGCGGGGACAAATGGAGGGCATACTCGTGGGGGTCTATACTACCTAGGAAAAAATTGGCTAAGCGCTGGTGTCTTAGAATAGAAGTCGGTCCAAATTATGGCTATTCCGACTGGACTATTAGTCGTGTCGTTAGGAGATCGAAGAGCTGTCAGCTACCTCGGACAAAGAATTAGTCTATTCAAAGGGGGAACCCTGCCAGTATCTTCGGAACCTCGCCTAAAGGGACTCCTTTTAATAATATATTTTAGTTATTATTTGTTAGTAGTTATTATTGACGACCTCCGTGGCCGAGTGGTTTGTACGCCGGGTTTCATGGCTGTCGCCGACTCGAGAGGTCCCGGGTTCGAATCCCGGTGGGGGCAGATGTTTGTGTGATGAATACGAGCATTTGTACTCCAGTCATGGATGTTTAATATGTATTTTCTATATAAATATACTTATATATGTACAGTGTATGTATTCTATCCGTTACCCTAGCATCCCATAACACAAGCCTTATAGTGCTTACTTTGGGGCTAGGCTAATTGGTGTGAGTGTCGGAAATATTTATTATTATTATTATTTATTTATTATATTATATTTTTCAAGGTTTGCAGTTTTTAGGTTCATTGTTCTAGTATATATATATTTTTTGGTTTTAACCTATATAATTATTATCCTAAACTACGTATATTTTTATTTTATATAAACGTGTATCCCTGTTTAAGCAGTGCTGCGAGGCTATTCTGTAAAATTTTCACGCGCGTATCCGATGCGGTTCCGCGCCAATCTATATAAGAAACGCGTTTGTTTCGGAAAAGATAAATTAAATTATGTGAGTGATCTTAAGTGCTATTCCGTTAAGAGACAAAATTATCACTCGCGGATCCGCATCGGATTTTAACAGAATACCGCCGAAATAAATAAATAGAACAATGCCAAGTGTCCATAGTAACTTTAGCTTAATATAAAATGTTCACGGGCATCAATGAAAATAGTTTTATTGTGTGTTGTTAATAACTAAAACATTTCCAGAACATTAAAAATTCTAAAGAACTTTGCGCAAAAAATACTTCGATAATACAAATATGGAATTTTGAGGTTATTTCAATTTGACTATCACCGTGGCGGAGTGGCTTCCACACCGATTCTCATGGTTTCGCCATATTTGGGTTCTCGGGTTCGCTACTCTGTCTCATTTATCCAGAAAAATAACTGTTTTACATTGTCTCGGATCTGAGTTTGAGGTACCTTTACTAGTTGGTAGACTAACGCTATTTTATATGCGCATTGTGGTAGAGCCAAAGTATGATCGTCTGGGTTGGTAATTACAATTAATAATACATTTCGATGATTATTCGAATCATTTTAATAAATCAAAAAACTACTGATTCAAATTCACTATTGCTGTATTCTTGTATCAGTTATCAATGCCAGTGCGTCGTCTCGGAACTCCATGTCTCTTTCTTTTTATTGCAATAAATGAGAGAGAAACAAAATAGCAACTCAATTTATTTATGTTAGATTTCCGGTCAGCTATTTGTTTATTAATAAATAAATTCTATTGGAGAAGTTCTCGAAAAAAGATAAATGTAATTTCAAACATTCGAATTTTTTATGATTCTTGTTGTATGTAAAAGACATGTGTCCGTGCCATTTTATAATTAAAAGTTTTGTTAGCCCGAATCTGACAGTATTCTTAAATTTATCTTTTCCGAAATACTCTTTGTATCCATATCAAACATACTTATCGAAGTCGGTCAAGTGTTGATAATGCGAAACATACTTTGCAAAAAAAAAAGTATAAGTTACTCCAACATCTTAACCCCTATTTATTTAAAAGTGGGTGTGAAAGTTGAATAAAGATTCAATTCAATTCAATTCAATTCATTTATTGCAGACCATAATGGAGATACAAAGGTGGTAACATATAGACAAAAGTGCATTATGGACCCTGTAGTGTAGGGTATCGCAATTGCAAGAGGAGAGGACGTCTTATTCATAATTCCTTATTGTGATATAATTTGTTATATCCAATAAATTAAAACCCATAAAAAATATTTATTCATACTACTCCAATAAGATATTGTATAATTACATTTATGATTTATGTACGATTATTAATTATGTAAGTATTGTATTATATCTTTTTATAATAAAAATAATATTGTATTTGTTATATTTATTCCATAGTAGTTTTATCATTTAGGTATTCCTGGAGGCTATAATAGCATTTATTCAATAACATCAACTTAATTTTTTTAATAAAAACATTGTAATTTTCTTCATTTTTTAAATTTTCAGGTAATTTATTATAGATTGTTATAGACATATTATAAGTGCTCGATGAGCATAATTTAAGGCGAGTAGTTGGAACCATTAGGTTTTTCTTGTGTCTCGATGTATATTTTGAAGGAATGTTTTCTCTTCTAGTAAAAAAAATTGAGTATTTTTTTACAAATTTACAAATCTCAAATATATAAATGCTTGGTAAAGAGAGAATTTCATATTTTTGGAAGTAAGGTTTACAACTTTCAGTTTGGTTAATATTAACAATAATACGAATAAGTTTCTTTTGTAGTGTAAATAAAGAGGATACGTCCGTACTGTTCCCCCACAAGATGATTCCATAGGTAAACCAGGCATTGGCATAAGCATAATATGTGATAAGAGCAGTCTTTAGATCTGTTGTTTTTTTGACCTCTCGAAGTGCATATGTAAAACTAGATAATTTATTTTTTAACATCTGGATGTGAGATTTCCAATTTAAGTTAGTGTCTATAGTTATACCCAGTAATGAAAAATCATTCACACATTCGATATTTTTGTTTTGAAAACTATAACAGAATTTAAGCGGTAATTTTTGACGCGGGTGAAAGGTTATTAATTTAGTTTTATCAAAGTTTATTCTAAGGTTATGTTTGTTTAACCAGTTAAAAGTCTGGGTCATTATTAAATTTAATTTGGTTTGTAAGTTGTTGTTGTTTTTACAAGATGTGAGAAGAGAAATATCGTCCGCAAATAGGACACACGGTTCCTCTATTGTTTTAGGGAGGTCATTGATATAAATTAGAAAAAGGAGACATCCGATGACGCTCCCCTGAGGAATGGAAGCGTTTATAGTTTTACTTTCAGAGAGAACCTTTATTATTTCTTTGTGTATATGATCAAAATATTCTATTTCAACAAATTGCTGACGGTTTTGCAAATAACTTTTAAACCAATTGTGCGCTGTTCCGCGAATGCCTATTCCGTATAATTTATTAAGTAGTATTTTATGATTAACACTATCATATGCTTTCGACATATCCAATAGAATTCCAATAGCATATTTTTTATCTTCTATTACTTTAATTATTTGCTGAACATATTTATAAACAGCCAAAACTGTAGACCGTTTCTTCCTAAAGCCATTCTGGCTTTCATCGAAGATTTCAAACTTTTCACAGAACTTAATAACACGATCATTCATTGCTTTTTCAAATATCTTTGACGAAGTAGACAGCAAGGCGATGGGACGGTAATTGTTAGGATTTGATTTGTCATTTTTCTTATGGATAGGCTTGATAATTGTTGTTTTTAGTAATGTAGGGAAAACACCTTCTTTGAAGGACTGATTAATCAACATTAATCAGTGATGTGTGATAGATGCTCAAACACACAAAAAGAACGAATTTGTAGTTTATTGCAATCAATGACTGACGACCTCCGTGGCCGAGTGGTTTGTACACCGGGTTTCATGGTGTCACCGGCTCGAGAGCTCCCGGGTTCGAATCCGGGTGAATAAGTTTGTGTGATGAATACGATCATTTGTACTCCAGTCATGGATGTTTAATATGTATTTCAATATAAATATACTTATATATTATGTATCAGTATATGTATTCTATCCGTTACCCTAGTTTCCCATAACACAAGCCCAGTGCTTACGTTGGAGCTAGACTAATTAGTCTGAGTGTTGGAACAATAATATTTAATAATAATAATAAATAATTAAATTTAATGACTGACGACCTCCATGGCCGAGTGGTTTGTACGCTGGGTTTCATGGTGTCCCGGTCATCCCGGTGAATATGTTTGTGTGATGAATACGAGCATTTGTACTCCAGTCATGGATATTTAATATGTATTTCTATATAAATACTAGCTGACCCAGCGAACTTCGTACCGCCATAAAAATAGGGGCTGGTGGTAGAAGGGTGAAATTTTGGGTTGTATGTATTTTTTAATGCCACATTATAAAAAAAAAAATGTTAGGGGTGGACAACCCTTATCCCTTAGGGGTATGAAAAATAGATAGTAGCTGATTCTCAGACCTACTGAATGTGCATATAAAATTTCATAAAAATCGATCAAGCCGTTTCGGACGAGTATGGTAAGTAACATTGTGACACGAGAATTTTATATATAAGATACTTATATATGTACAGTATATGTATTCTATCCGTTACTCTAGTATCCCATAACACAAGCCTTATAGTGCTTACTTTGGGAGTAGGCTAAATGGAGTGTGTTAAAAAAAATACCTTATGGAATAATAAAATTTAAAATTTGGAATAGACATGGGAAAATCAGAAAGAATATTTAATGCTTTTTCTGGAATAACATTTTTTTTCGAAAATATAATAATAATAATGTTGGTCCTAAAAAACAAAGCAATCACTATACCCTGGTCTCCTTTTTGTAAAACTATTATTCTTCAAGGAATTGAAGACAGATTTTTATAAAGCTTTAGGAACTCTTGGCATAATTACTTTTCTTTTTCCTAGAAATTTCTCAAAGTATCAAGAAAGTAAACAAATCGAGTGTTGAATAGTGCGGTGTAGTATAATATCGTTTATCGTTGTCGGTGGCTCCGAAACGCGCCCGAGGCGAGGTGTCGTCGTGTGCCATGACCACGCTCGATAACGAATAGGGGCGGACGTGCTCTTATCGATATCGATGTTCTTATTAAAACTATGAAAATAATTAAGGACTTTCCTATGCTGAATTGATCATACGTTTCTTACGTGTTTTCTATTATAAATGGCGCAGTAAATTAACCCGATGCCACCTGATACTAAGTGTGATTGGGATAAAGAAGCGAAGACAGCTGATTCAGCAAATAAAGTGTGCCGCTTCAGCCATCTTCACATGACTGACTTGAACCCAATTCCCTAAACTGTGGAGGCTAGAAATCTTACTCACCAATTTAATAGAAGAATAGCACCACCAAAAGGCGTTCTTTTACTGTTTCTGATTATTTTTTATACATATTCAGAACATGTAAAGGACCCGAAATGTCAGGTATAATAAAAAAAAGTTGATAAATCGGTCTTTCTACCCGTTAAAGAAGCTTTTTATTTTACGATTAGAACACGTAAAAGCAAAATAAAAAAAAACTCTTAAAAAAAGATTCTTCAAACGGTCAATTAATACGACTTTTCAAGTGAAGACCAAAAACTTACCTACATAGTTATAATTTGAATTTTTTAGGCATGTAAGTGCTTGATGTTTAAATCTAAAGAAAATATAACTAGAAAAAATTCCACGCGGACCAGGCAGCAGACGGGCCTCGAACCCGCACCCTTCGCAATCCGGGCGAATGCACTGACCATGGTTACCTACAATGCGAAGAAATGGCGCTGCCATGCAGCTTAAGAATGGCTAGGAGAATTTCGATGCGGCCGGTCAGGGCCGCGGTAGCATAATTGGTCAGTTACCTACATAGTATTACAAATTTAGTCAGTTTCAATAAATCATTGCAAAATGTGTCAAAAAAAATAATATTCCTTAAACAACTTATAGTTATTTTTCCAAAAATTTTGACTATTATTATGACAACTTTATGGCTTATCAATATATAATTAATTTATGATCTACTTTGACATGCATGTAATAATAGACAATTTCAAATTATATTCATAAATTGTGATTCCAATGTAAAAGTAATAATACTTCTTTCATAGGTCCATATCTATTTGTATACCTTAATTAAGGTGGAAATGTAGTGATACTAACAAAAATTTTATATACCATGTATACTAACCTATGTTTGACAAATAAAATTCTGATTCTGATTCTGAAAGTATCGATATATCCTGTGAATGTCCCGCCACTAGCGGTGCGGAGGAGACGCGTGCCGGCGACAGCACTCGGGGCACCACTAGCACCGAACTTTTATTTATTCTGTCAGCGGCAGATTATTTAGCTTTTTGCCGACAACGCGTTGGGTTTGGGCAGCCCTTCTGCGGCAGGCAACCGTAGTGTTGTTTAGGTTCGTTAGGACGATGGCGAGCCAAAATTCATCACATTTTTATAATATAAAAAATACTATTTGTTTCTTAGGTTTTCACGCACATCACTAATTAAAATAAAAGTAGTTTTTTAAGTTAATGCATGAACTTCATTTATTTACTAGCGGCTCGCCCTCGCTTCGCTTCGGTGTAGAGCTGAAGTGTAGACTACAGTTTGTTCTCAGGCGTGTATTATACACAATGACATTCATCTATGATTCTTCTTATACCTGCATGCAAAGTCGGCCCGATCGGTTTAAAATTGATAAAGTTTCATACAAACTTTCATTCCCTATTTTACCCCCTTGGGGGTAGAATTGATCAAAATCCTTTCTTAGCGGATGCCTACGTCATAACATCTACCTGCATGCCAAATTTCATCCCGATCCGTCCAGTGGTTTGGGCTGTGCATTGATAGATCACTACGTCAGTCAGTCAGTCACCTTTGAGTTTTATATATATAGATTGACGTTTCGCAGCCTTTTCAGGTCTGCATCGTCAGAATAAGACGTCATTATTGAAAAGGCTGCGAAACGTCAATAAATAAATAAAGTTCGTGCATTAACCCGTTAAAACTAGTTTTATTTTAATAAACAATACTAGTAAGTCTATAGAAAATATTACTAGAAAAAAACGACGGGTTGCACTCCGGGAGTGCCGGCAGAGGTGAAAACTTGAATATTAACTTTGTGCATTTTTGATATTTTGGAATGGTTAGGGAATAATTTTGCACGAATCGCTTAAATTTTAACAGTTTATATACACGAATTTTACGAATACACAGCAGTGTGGCCACTACACAGACGGGCGAGCTAACAGCTGTCACCATCCATGGATGCGCGTGGCACGCTGTAACATTCGCACACGAACATTCGCGCAAGCGCCCCCTGCGCCGCCTAAACGAAACAGTAGGCGCAGGCATACATTTTCGCCGCGCCGTAGAAAGAGAGGGGGATACTTCGGCTGTCTACTCTCCATCCGTCTTACGAATTTTCGATCAGGGGCCCAATTCTCGCGGCATAGATATTATATCACCTTCGATAAATATCAAATGATCTGGCTTTTATCGAAGGAAAACCTTTTTGCCCTATTCTCACCATGTCGCAAGATATTTATCTACGGATGATCAGTAGACATACATCGACTGGTAAAGAGCCTTCGATATATAAATATCTATGGATCTTGGCATGTCAATCTTGTTATTTCAACTTTTTTTACCTATTATTTATTGTGTTGTCGTGTGTCTTTGCCAATTATTGTTACCTCAAGATGTTGTTAACTGCCTTCATAAATAATTAGTAAATAAAGAAATAGGTAAACAATGGTGTCGATTCTGGCGTGATTCTCTAAACTTAAAACTAAATTTAACATCAGTCTCTTCTTTTCATTCTGTATGGAGAATGACAAGGATACACTGTTGTCAAATTTACGTTTAGGTTTAGAGAATCATGCCAGAATCGACACCATTTTCTTATTGACGATGCGAAGTTTTTGGCGGGATTTCTGCGAGAGCGGTTGGCGTCTTATTTTAATTATTCTAAAATTCGTTCATAGTGGATATTGTGAAATAAAATTGGTGTGATTTGGTGTTACAACCGTCTGCGCAACTGAAGAATTAGTGGAATCTTTAAAATATACGCTATTCCGGTCAAGTGGACGCGAGAACTTTATTGTAGTGTTGACTACCTCACAGAAGCTTAGAGTAAAAGCCAGCTCCATAAATTTCGTGCCAAACACTCCAAGAAACATTAGAATGCATCACACTGACATTCTAATGTAAAAAAAAGAAGAATATAACTAAAAATTAGGCTGTATGGGCATTGTTCCCTTTGCCTTCCCTGAAAAGGGAGAATTTTAAATAATATTGACGTTTCATTATACATAACGTTGAAATTTTAAACGCATACAATTTAGGTAAAGTTGAGATTTCTTATACTCAAAAAATACTCATATTTAATATGAATGGAATTCATAAAATATAAAATATCATTTTGTTGCTTGTAAAATTCTGCTCTAATTTATTATTATTTTATATAGACTATGATATTAACTTAATCGAGAAAAACGGAACGCTTTCGGCAGTGAAAGAATATCTACGATAGTTAAAATATCATTGGAATATCGAAAATCCACGAGAATAGCATTTTTTACCATCAGTAGATATTTTCAATAGATATCCCTACTTTCGATATTATCTCGAAGCCGATATAATATCTACGCCGCGAGAATTGGGTCCCTGGTCACGTGTCCTGACGCGAGTTTAACATTTTTACCAATTACAAAAAAAAGTGTACAACGCCGCTAAAGAAGTTTTCACTTCAAAAATTCCAAGCGAACCAGGCAGCAGACGGGACTCGAACCCCGCACCCTTCGCTATCCGGGCGAATGCACTGTGCTACCGCTGCCCTGATGGCCATGACGGATTCTTTCTAGCCTTTCATAAGCTGCAAGGCAGCGCCATCTCTTCGCATTAATGTTAGTTATATATGTAAATTCTGAAAACGCCAAATCTAAAACTAGCAAACAATGGGGTCAATGTCAAGGGACTGAAAATGTCAGTGCCATTTTCATCACCAGTCAAGAAGCCTCAACTTATTAATTTGATGAAACAGCTTGAATCAATGGATTCACAGACAGCTGTGGAAATGTAGATTCACGTCCAAAGCTTCTTCAGGAGAATTATTACTAATAAATGATTGAGAAACATTAAATACTACCTTAGTTTAACCTCTGATTACAGAACAAAAGGAAGATGGAAGCCACGGAGCACGCAATGCGTGCTACCATAGCAAATACGAAGTGAAAAGCGAATATCAATTCGCTTCAGTACACCACAACGGAGGAGCTCGATGGCGCAGGTGGTTAGCGCGTTCGGCTGCGATCGTTGAAGTTAAGCAACTTTCGCAGTGGTCGGTCATTGGATGGGTGGCCAAAAATCTTCTATCTCGAGTTCCTCCGTGCTTCGGAAGGCACGTTAAACCGTTGGTCCCGGCTGCATCTGCAGACGTTAGCACCCGCCAATCCGCACTGGGCCCGCGTGGTGGGTCATGGCCCAATCTCCCTATTCCATCCATAGGGAAGGCCTGTGCCCCAGCAGTGGGGACAATAATAGGCTGATGATCATGATGATGATGATGACACCACAACGCATCGTGTTGTGAATACGTCCCGTGAAAATTATAGATCCGAAACTAAATCGACCTTCACCGAGCTGATAATAGAATGAAATATATTTTGTCAATTTAGTTTATTAGAAAATATATTAAAAATGGGTTGCTAAAAAAATCCTGGACAGACTATTGCCTAAACAATAGGACACGACAATCCTAAACATTTCTAAGCTTTGTTAAATCAGTTTTTAAATAAAATATATTATTTAATTTTCATAATTTCTATATTATTCTATTTCTTGACGACCTCCGTGGCTGAGTGGTTTGTACGCCGGGTTTCATGGTGTCGCCGACTCGAGAAGT